GATGTGGGCGCCTCGTTTCCAGGCGGCTCCGCAGGTCGCCTGGAGCCAAGTACTTGAGGCTAGCTTTAAACTCTTGACACTCTGTGGTGTCGTGGGTAGTGACTTGGTGCCAGTCGCACCACTTCTTTCCTTCTTGGGACTCATGTCCCGAGGAGGCCTCATGCTTTCTTCCGCCCCTCCGTCGTTCTCTTCCCCTTTCGCGGTCAGTGGAGAGCACCTCCTTCCGGCCTTCACGCTCAGAGTACCGATTGCGGTATGTCCCGCGCTCCGGGGAGCGCCTTCCTCGTCGCGTGTCCCGTCGCTCCTGCTGGTCGTTTTGCGACCGCCCTGGCTGGGAACGATCGTCCGTCGCCAGGGCTTCTTCAAGCAAGATTGCTCGTCGCACCAACTGGTCTAGCTCAGACCAGGAGGTCAAGGCCGCTTCCTTCTTTATCAATGTCCTCTTGAGCTCGATGCTGGTTGTCGATATCCGAAGGTTGCCGGCGGCTACGACCGAGGAGATGCCGTCTATTTCGCATGCAATCGCGTTCCATCGGTCATAAAACTCGGTGAGAGATTCCTCTTTCTTTTGTCGGCAGCTGATGAGGGCGGAGACGGTGAGCTTGCGTCGTCTTTGTGACGCGAACTTCGTCGAGAATAACATTGCGAACTGCTCGAAATTCTCGATGATGCCTTCAGGGAGGGACGTATACCAAGTGCGACATTGACCGCTGAAAGTTACCGGGAACGCCTTGCACAGATCCGAGTCTGAGGCGTTGATGAGTTGCATCTTCAGCATGAAAGCGCAGAGGTGGTCTGCGGGGTCGGACGTCCCGCTGTAGGTGGGAAGACCTAGCGAGGAGAAATTAGGGGGAACCGGGGTCTTGAATAATTCTCTCGAAAGCGGGTTTTGCAGCACGTTCGGGCTCTTGTGTTTCCCATAGGTTGACCTTAAGTGTTCCTCTAGAAACCCAAGGTCGGCGTCTTCCGCGTCGGGTCCTCCGCCTTCTGTCCGAGCAGGGCTGTCAAGGATCTGGACGACTTTCTGTTTTTCTTCCCGCGTCTTTGCCTTGGAGCCTTCGGCGGTCTCATCTCTCGTCCTCAAGAGTTGGAGGATTTGAGAGAGACTGTCTTGCATGTTGGCTATCTGCACTCCTTGGCTTTTGACCACTTCTTCGAGCTCGCTCTCGTCTTCGACTCTCGGTGATAGTCCTTGGAGGGTGTTATTTTCCGTCATCCCTTTGAGGGGGGTCTCGAAGTCGTCTCCCATTCTTTCGGCAATGAAGTCGTGAGGCCCCACGGTGGGCGCCAAAATGTTTGTGCCTGGGATGTACCAGGCGGTTATGTGAGACTCCACGACCTCTGGCGGCTTGACAGGTGGGAGGCGGTCTTCCGAGACCTGCACGAAAGGTCCTCAGGGGTTGCCTGGGACCTCCTCCGAAGCTTAAGTTAGAGAGAGAAGGGAATGTATAAGTGTGTATAGAGAGAGAATTCGGTTGATCGAAGTTACCATAAATGCTGCCCCTTTGGGGCTATTTATACTGGCCTGGACTTAGAATCAAGACATTTAATGCTGTGTCAGGCGGTCTAGGACGCCTCTAACTTTATTATCTGCTTTGTCAGTACGAATGTCAGACTTCTTCTGACAGCAGGATTTTAGCCCATTGGTCGGGCGGTTTCCGACGTATGGATGACGTAAATGTCGGGCGGTCTCCATGTCGGGCATTGTTAAACTGACCTTGTCTTGACCTGTCTTTGTGGGCTTTCATAACCATGGGCTTCAGGCCCACGTATGCCAATACTAGGCCCAACACCAACTATAATCGTCATATCTAGTTTTATAGATATACGTATAGAAATAATTTTGTATTAGTTATCCGACCATTATTCTGTCGAAGAAACAAGTATTTATCTATTAAATTACTTTACTGATTTCCTATTTCACATACCTTAGGTAATACATTTGACCCATATTTAATCAGCTAAATAACCTACCTAGGGTGACAGATGTAAGAGCCAAATTTTTCAGGGGTTAAAAGAGACAAAAACCACTTGACCGGGGACTGGATAGTGGATACCCCTTCGTTGACCGAACTCGGAATGAAGAAGTATTCTTTGGTTCAGTTTTCCTCCCCGGCCCGGCCCCGTTCCGTTGAATAATAGACAGGAACCGGCCCGGAAGGCAGCCGAAGGAAAGGACCCAAAAAATGAAGAGATCCGATCCGTCCTTCGTCCTCGGCCATCTCTCTCCCCGCTGCAGCGTAGCCGAGCCGACCGCGACTCAAGCCGAGCCGGTCGGTTTATTTGACTGAGCCGGCCGTCTCGTCTCCTCGTGACTCACGCAGCCCGGAGAGAGAGAGAGGGAAGCAGCCGGCGGGCGCATCATTTAGCTGCCGTGCACGTCGACGTCATCCAGCTCGACATCGACGCAACCGCCCGTCCTACTCCTGCCCTACTACTTCTTTCTGCTTCTTCCGGTTTTGTCGCTCTCCGTCCCACCACCGAAGTTCACGCCGTCAACCTAGAAATTCCGATTCCAAACAACTCCCATCTGCCTCCGCCATTGACCTAAACCCACTACTCCAGAAACTTGTGATTAGCGAGTTGTTATATTTTGGGCAAAAGAGAAAGAAGCAGAGTTCCAACTAACACTGTAACACAGAGCTTTCTTTCCACTGCATTTTTGTATCAATATCACAGGTAAAAATACAAGGAAAATGAAGTGTATAATCAACCTTTTATTTAGCCTCTCATTAGTACGAGATATTTTAGTAAGGAACTCACAAATAATTTTGTGAGATCTTGGTATAAATTGAACAATATTGTAACAAATGACGCTATTCAACACCAAAATGTAAGATAGGCCAGGGGCGGAGCCAGGATTTTGAGACCGGGGGGCCGAAAATAATTAAAAAAGATTATGTAACCAATGTGGATCGAACCTATGTGCTTTAATACACAAGTTAAGCTTGGCTACCATTAGACCACATAACTATTTAATGACATAATTTATAGAACAAGTTCTACTTCTAAAATTTGTACGAAATATCCTTAAAAACTTAGGGGCCGAGATCAATCCCGGGGGGGGCCGGGGCCCACCCTAGCTACAATGTAGCTCCGCCCCTGAGATAGGCTAACGGTAAAGCTACCGCGACAGTGAAGGCTTGGGAGTTGCAGATCCCAGGTTCGAATCCAAGCGAGGCCCGTTGGTGTTCTCGGAGGTACAAGGCTGTTGGAGGCGAAGACCCGTTGGCGTCGAAATTGATTGCAGGTGGCCCCCAAGTTTAGTAGGACCCGCTGTCACAAAGTGGCATGTGAGGCTGAGGTTCCTGGGTAATAAATAAAAAAATGACGCTTTTCAACAAGCTGATATTCGAGCCTTGTTTGTGAAGCTCGGATCTGAGGCGGTGGAAGTCAGTTTGGTGGGCTCTCATTCACTGACCTCGAGATCTTTGATATGCATCTGTCTGGCGGGTCAAGGGAGATTTGTTATGGTTCTTTTCCTTGAGCGGATGAATGTTCCAAGTACTACAGGGATATACAAGGGGAAAGACTCTTGTATACATGTGTTCACCAAACTTCATTAGATGACCGTATGAGGCAATTTCAGAAGAAACCTAATAACAAATCCTTGCGGGTTTGACTCAAAGTAAATAATATCATAGTAAATGAAACATTCGGGTCTCAACAAGTGGTATAAAATGAGTTGTGCATCTCATCTCATGATTTGTTTGGTAGATCAAAGGTGATTTCCTTGACAAAAATTCGCATGATGCGATGGAGGCCAAATTCATCCCTACCATTCTTATGTGAGGTTTATTCATTCCCAGTCAATATGAAAATATCTTCCTGCAGTGGTCGGAGAGGATCGAATACATGCGACTTCAGGCATATTGGTCACCCTTACTTCCCAGTTCCCACTCAAAAGACAACCCTTTCCATCCCACGTGCAAATATATGACAGACAATTAAGAAAACTTGTTTTTCATAAGTACACAATTAATAAAAAAAAACATTTTATAAGGATGAAATGGCTGTCCTTATAAAATGTGCGAGACATTGTGTGTCCGTTGATATGAATTTACCTATATTGTCCATCAAATAAAGTCCTTTTGGTTTATCACAAATATAGTGTACTTATAGAAGATGCGATGTAAAGACTTAATGTCTACTATAAAAAATGGAAACTCGATATGTTATGTGGAATTTTTTTTTATAAATTTTAATAAAATTCCATTATTTTACTCTAATTCTCTTAACCCTTAGGTACCTGAATCCCACAATATGATTGGGTTTACTCATTTGCCACATTGAAAGCTATTGCACATCAAAATAGGTAATCAACCTATTTTTGATTTCGTTGTAGAGCCTATTAACAGCAACTTACTGTAAAGGAGGAGTTCTCAAACCCGCTGAATTTAAATTCTAAAGTATATTAGTTTTAATTTTTTTTTTATCACCAATTTCAATATTAAAATTTTATTTATAAACAACAAGGACATACACCAGATTTCGAACATGGGCCTGTACAGAAAAAATGGAAAGAAAAAACAAAGAGGAAAAAAAGGGACATTATTGCCGTCGAAGACAGAGAGCGGTTCCTTATTACATCGATCGAACAGCCAAAGTAGAAACGGAGACGGAAGCAAAAGATTTTGGCAGCTGGACCGATTAGGCAGGCGGCCAGAGCCGAGCCGTAAACTCCCCCAATCCCCGATGACGCCACTCCGAGCTGGCCCCCGTTCCCCTCACGCGCCTTTCCCCCAACTTCCTCTCGCCCGGCGACTCTTTTATTTCCCCACTCCTAATCTTTCGCCCTCATTCGTCCGGCGCGTCACCACTCTCTCGCCGCACCGACACCTTCTTTTACCCTATTCTCTCTCTCTCTCTCTCGGTCTCTCCCCACCTTTATTTCCTCTCCGTTCAATTCCCCAATCTCCCCCAATCTCTAACCTAGGGTTTCCACCGCCGCCCGCCGCCGACCAATCGATTCTTCTCCGTCCCCCTTCCACCCTCAATCCATGGGCGACATGACAGATTCCGGAACCGTCAACTCCCGCCCGCTCCCCATCCGCGAGGACTGCTGGAGCGAAGAGGCCACGGCGACGCTCGTCGAGGCCTGGGGCAACCGCTACGTCGAGCTCAGCCGCGGGAACCTCCGCCAGAAGGACTGGGCCGACGTCGCCGAGGCCGTCAACGCCGTCCACGGCCTCACCAAGAAGACCCACCGCACCGACGTCCAGTGCAAGAACCGGATCGACACCATCAAGAAGAAGTACAAGGTGGAGAAGACCAGGGTCACGGCGTCCAACGGCGCCTTCGTCTCGTCCTGGCGATTCTTCGACCGGCTGGACTTCCTGATCGGATCTAATTTCCCGGCCACCGCGGCGAAGAAGGAGAAGCAGCCGTCGTCGCGGTCTCTCTCGCCTTCCCCTCCGGTGGCCCTGCCGCTGACGAATTCGTCGTCGGCGTACCGGCGGAACCCTAACCCTAGCTCGAATTCGGTGGTGGCGGTCGGGCAGAAGAGGCCCGCCGCGGAGGACATCTATTTGAGGAGGACGTTCATGGCTGCTGCCGCGGCTGCTGATTCGGAGAGTGACGAGGAGGAGGATGAGCCCCAGCAGCACCAGCAGCAGCGGCAGGACAGGGCGAACAACAACGACAACAACAACAACGACAAGGACGAGGAGATGCGGAGGCTGGCCAGGGCGATTGAGAAGTTCGGGGAGGTGTACGAGAGAGTGGAGAGGGACAAGCTGAGGCAGATGGTGGATTTGGAGAAGCAGAGGATGAAGTTTGCGAAAGATGTGGAGATGGAGAGGATGAGAGTTTTCACTGAGACTCAGATCCAGCTGGAGAAGATCAAGAAGGGGAAGCGCTCTGCTGGCCCTACTAATGGTGAGAGAGATTATTGATTCACCCCCTCTTCAAAACACTAATTCAGTAATTCCTCTCTTGATATATATTATGAATGATGATTTGGAAAAAAAACCCCCTAATTTCTCTCTTCTCTCCTTCTCCCCTAGTAATTTCTGTAAAATCATCTTGTTGTAATGTTAGGGCTTTTGATTTTCATTCCAGTAACTTTTTTTTTAATCTTATTGTGGGTTCATAAGCACATTCACTAATATTAAGCAGCAGCAGCAGTCTAGATGTGGAACTCATGAATATGTAGTAGCAGCAGCAGCAGCTTATCATGTAGTAGTAGTGATTTCTGTGTTTCGGATTTGCTCGATTCAGGATTTATGTTAAAGTTTTCATTGGTGGGCTATGTTTTGAAGATCATTGTTATGGTTTGAAGTTACGAGCCTAGTAGTTGAGTTATGATATGATGATGGCGTGGTATTAGTATTAGAATGATAATTCCAGCTCCTTTCTTCGATTGCAGGACTAGCAGTTTTGGGAATTATTTGAGGGTTGGCCGTGGTAGCACATAACTTTGTCTATTTTGTCACCTTCAAGATTGCAACTTTAGCCTTTTAAGATTAGATGAATTTGCTTTGCTCCCCTGTTTAGATTTGTAATGAGCTTTTGGACCTTTCTTAAGTGAGAAAGGGATTCAAATTAGTAGGGGGGACTGGGGAAACAAAGAGGCCTTATTTCGTACCCTTTTTATCTCTGTTTTCTTGTAACTTTTTGTTCTATGAGGTCTTTAGTTTATCACCATTCTGTGTCTTTGTAAACAATTTAACGTCAGGGCATGACTTGTTCCTTGTCTATGGAAGCTTAAGTATATGAGTGTTGGTTCCTTTAGCTTTTGTTAACGAGCTGTGTATCAGTAGCCTTTCATAAATGGATGGCGAAAATGTGCAGTTCTTATGTTGTTCATTTCTGCATTTTTATCAATGATTCAAGTCGACGGTCTTAGTTTCCACGAGCCTGTGTCGCTTGGTGTTGTTAGCAGCATGGCACATGCAGCTGATAGGCCTTCTTTTGGTCTAGATATTTGGGTGAAAAACTAGTAGTCCATTGCCTTGTTTCTTCTAGGAAAAGTTCATCCCTATAATCTGGTAGGCCTCATTCGTTGCTTATGTTTTCTGGGAAAGGAGAAAGGGATATGGACTGGAAACTAAGATGAAAGGTTGGTTTCGGGGTTAGGCATGGAAGACCATTGATGTAGATTGAACTTCTTGCTCCAGTGGCTGTTCTAGATTTCAGTTCAGTTATTACAAGCTTCTTGAATGAGTTTAATGAATCTCTGGTTTCTGTGCTGAAGTTATATCTGGTTTCTCTTGATTGGTTCCTTGGAGTTGAATATTGGTTATCTATCCCCATTGGCTGGCTGGAGTTCGTAAAAGTGAAATGGGAAATTATGTATTGAAAAACAACGGCTTTGCTCATATTGTTACGTTTCGACCAATGAATGAACGACGGTCTCCATGTTCGCTATCCTGGTTCGATCCTCTAGGATAGGAGAGCGCCATGTTGAACCCGTTGGCTCCTTTTCTGTTCTGGTTCGGAGTCGGTCCGGTCATAAAAAGGATTACGGACAGGATTCAACATTTCTCTGTGGGTAATTGAAGCTAAGAGAAACCTTGCTGCTAGGGTTGCAGCAGGTTGTAGAGAGAAGGAAAGAATGCGAGCAAATGATTGTGAGGAAACCCGCAAAGCGCTAAGGTCTCGGGGCCATTTCATTTATACTAGTGTTCAGCAGAGAAAAGCAATTAAACAGTAAAACTTGATTTGTCCGTTAAAACTGTAATTTAAACAAACATAAACGTTGTTCGCCACGTGTCTTCGTTCCATTGGCCTCTTGTCTCCACCTAACGGTAAGTTCAGGTCTCCACGGCGTCGTTTCAACCATCGCGTCTGCTAGGTGGAGGGGAAGGCAGAAACGAAACGTTTCTGCCCTGTTCTTCTTCTGTGCTTCAGCTGTTCTTCTTATATCATCACAGCTGCACTTCTTCTTCAATCTTCATTCAAGCTTTCTGCTCTGTTACTCCCCCGTAAGTTGGCGAGTACATATCAAAGACTCCCAACTTATCCAGCATATAGCTCAGCCTGTAACGTGTCAAACCCTTGGTGAAAAGATCAGCCAGCTGATCATCAGTCCTCACATGTTGCAGCTTGATCATTCCAGAGCTTAGTCTTTCCCTTGTAACATGACAGTCGATTTCAATGTGTTTAGTCCTTTCATGAAACACCGGATTTTCTGCTATATGAATAGCAGATCGATTATCACAATAAACATCAATTGGCAGGGGAACCATTCCAATTCACATACCAAGTGCGCTAAGGCTCTATATTCTGCCTCGGACGAAGACCTTGAAACAGTGGTCTGTTTCTTAGACTTCCATGTCAGCAAACAGCCTCCCAGCAGAGTACAATACCCTGTCACTGATCTCCTGGTATCTGGGCAGCTAGCCCAATCTGAATATGAGAAACCTGTCAATTCCAACTTTGTTCCACTTTTGAAAAATAACCCTTGACCTGGTGCATGCTTGATGTACCTTATCACCCTGTAAGCTGCCTGCAAATGTTCAGTGTAAGGATCCTTCTGAAACTGACACAGCTGCTGCACTGAGTGTGTCAAATCAGATGGTCAAGTAATGTAATCTTCCTACAAGTCTTTTGTAAACTTCAGGGTTTGTCAAAGGCTCCCCTTGCTTTGCTCTCAATTGGACTTTGCAATCTGCAGGTGAAAGACAGTCCTTAGCCTCCATATAACCAGTTTCTTCCAAAATATCCATACAGTACTTCCTTTGATTCACAAAGATTCCCCTATGATCTCTGTAAACTTCCAAACCCAAGAAAAACTTCAGAACTCCCAAATCCTTGACTTTAAACTCTTTTCTCAGAAACCCTTTAGTCTGTTCAATGTCACTCAATGAACTCCCAGCTATTAAGATGTCATCTACATAGACTAGCACCACAAGCATCCTACCCTGGAACCTCCTGATGAACATGGAATAATCAGATGCTGCTTGAGAGAATCCATTCTTTAGCAAAGATGCAGTCAGTTTGGCAAACCATTGCCTACTGGCTTGCTTTAAACCATATAAAGACTTTTTGAGCTTAAACACAATCCTTGGATCAGAAACAACTACTCCAGGTGGTGGTTTCATACAAACCTCCTCATTCAAATCACCATGGAGGAATGCATTGGCAACATCCATTTGATGGATGTGCCAATCTTGTGAAGCAGCAACTGCCAACAAAGCCTTTACTGAATTAATCTTTGCCACAGGAGAAAAGGTATCTAAAAAATCTATACCATAAATCTGTGTAAAGCCCTTTACAACCAGTCTTGATTTATGTCTTTCTATGGAACCATCTGCCTTGTGTTTAATCTTGTAGACCCATTTATTGTCAATAGCTTTCTTACCTTCTGGCAGGATTACTTCATCCCAAGTATCATTTGCTATCAGTGCATCCATCTCTTCATTCATAGACAGTCTCCAGACCAATTCCTTACAAGCTCCTGCATAGGTCTTAGGCTCTTCTGCATTCATAACACTCAGTACAAAGATCCTATGTGATTCAGGAAGCTTATCAAATGACACAAAGTTCTGAATGGAGTGACTAGTGGTAGCTCCTGAGAACATGAAATCCTTGTGCCATACAGGTTTGGTCTTGACTCTGGTAGATTTCCTCAATCCAGGATCCTCCCCTTCATCAATAGGTTCCTGAGCACACAGTTCCTCCCCATCAGAATGCAGATCAGGCCGGTCTATAGTTGGGCTAGGTTGATGAGAAGAAGAAGGAATCAAAGTGCTAGGTGATGGACTGTGTGAGGAAGAAGGAGAATGAGGATTGAAAGAAGGAAGTTTAGTAGAAGAGATAGGTGTACTGGATGATGAATCTGTGTAAGAAGAAGGAAGAGGCTGAGATGTATTCTGAGAGTTTGGTGAAGGAACCAGATAGGGTAAAAAGTCATCTGGGACAGGAGAATAAGTGGGAAAAAGGGATGTAGACTGGGAAGAAGAAGAGGAAGGGGAAAAGGTAGGATTGGTAGGATCAAGAGAGGAAGAATTGGTGGAAGAGGTCTATTTAAATGGAAAAATTGTTTCATGGAACATGACATGTCTGGAAACAAACACATCATGAGAATGGAGGTCAAACAACTTATAGCCTTTGACTCCAGGTAGGAAACCAAGGAACACACACTGTCTAGCCCTGGGGTGAAACTTGGTTCTATCTCTAAGCAAAGTAGAAGCATAGGTTAAACAGCCAAAGACCTTTAGATGGGAAAGGACAGGAGGTTTATGGTATAACAGTTCAAAGGGGGTGAGATCCTGGATAACTGGTGATGGCAACCTGTTTATAAGGTGTACTGCATGTAAAATGCAGTCACTCCAAAATGTTAGGGGTAAACCTGACTGGAATCTTAATGCCCTGGCAACATTCAAAATATGCTGATGCTTCCTTTCTACACGAGCATTTTGCTCTGGAGTTTCAACACAGGAGGTTTGGTGTTCAATTCCATGAGTGGAATAGAACTCAGCCATATGAAACTCACTTCCCTGATCATTGCGAATAACCTTAACCAACTTCCCAAACTGTCTGCTAACCATTACACAGAAAGCTTCCAGAATTTTGCTTGTTTCTGATTTCAATTTCATTAAATAAGTCCAAACAGCACGTGAATGATCATCCACAATGGTGAGAAAATATGAGTAACCATCATAAGACTGAACAGCAAGGGGTCCCCATATGTCAACATGGATAAGATCAAAAACAGAATGTGCTCTACTGGTACTGAGAGGGAAAGACAGTTTCCTCTGTTTAGCTAGGTGACAAGTCTCACAATGTCTAATAATGGCCCTATTACATCCAGTAAGTTGTTGTTCTCTTTCTCTACTAGGGTGACCTAGTCTCCAATGCCAGAGTTCAATTTGGTGAGGTTGGAAGTTGTAGGTGGCTGCTGTGTGGTGATGAGGTCATGCTGGAATGTTGGGGGAAAGATGGTAGAGTCCTCTACTTTGTCTGGCAAATCCAATCTGCTTCCTGGTCACTAGGTCCTGAATATGACAAGAGTCAGATTCAAAGTGTAAGGAAAGAGGTAGGTCATGGGTAAGTTTACTAACTGAGATGAGGTTAAATGTAAAACTAGGGACCAAGAGAACATTTTGAAGGTATAATCCTGGATGTAATCTAACTGTGCCTATATGACTCACTTGTACTTTAGTACCATTAGGGAGATAGACAAACTGATTTGCAGTAGGCCTAGCATCAGTCAGCAAAGACAATGTGCAGCAAATATGGTCTGAAGCACCAATATCCAATATCCATACTTGAGCAAGTCCCATTAATCCATACTGGTTGTGTGAGGACAGAACAAACTTACCAGAAAAGTTTGGAAACAGTCGTAGATGTTGAGAAACTGAGTATGCAGCATGCTTGATTGAGGGTGAGAGAGGTGGTGATGGACTCATGCTCTCAGACTGGAGAAGAGACTTCAGCTTGGTGAATTCTTTATTGGTAAACCATTGGCTACTCTGACTGCTTTTGGTTTCCAGACTCAGGCTGCTACCTGTAGAACCAGATTCTTTGCTCTCTGAGTCTGACTGAGGAACAGCACCAGCAAAACTCTTTTCTCCTGCCATTCTGGCATTCTTGTTTTTGAGTCTATAGCACTCATCCTTCAGGTGGCCTTCCTTCTTGCAGTATCTGCAAAACTTCTTGTCACCATCTGCATTTTCTCTCCCTCCTTTGCCAGGTTCAAAAGATGTGTAACTCTTTGGCTTATCTCCTTGGGCTGCTAAAGCAACTGATGGAACATTTCTGGTAGAATGTCCTTTGTCAGACTTAATCTTCTGCTCATGTTGGAGGATATCATCCACTGCAGCTTGTACACTGGGTAATGGCTTCATCATCAACAGTTGAGTTTGGACCACATCAAACTCAGGTCTGAGGCCTCGAAGAAACTTGATCAAGTATTATGTCTCCTGCCTCTCCCTGAATGCTTCCACTGCTGCACATGGCCTGGTTCTGATCATCACACAATCACAATCCAGAATAGGGTTGAACTGGAGGTATTCCTCCCATAGCCCCTTCAAATGCACATAATATTGAGTCACACTTAGACTTCCCTGCTTGAATTGAGCAATAGCTTCCTTTAAATTGGCTAGTCTTAGTGCATTGCAACTACCAAATCTCTGCTTAAGTTCATCCCAGAGTGTCTGAGCTACTTCATGTTGCAAAACACTGCGACGTATGTCCTTATCAATTGAATTCAAGATCCAACACAGCACCATGGTGTTCGAAGCATCCCACACAATAAACTCAGGATGGGTTCGTTCAGACATGGATAGACTACCATCAATAAACCCAATCTTATGCTTGGTCTTGAGGACCATTCTTATGGTTCTCTACCACATCTGGTAATTATTCTCATTCAACAACTCAGACACTATGGACTGACCCAGATTCTCACTAGGATTGATGTAATAAGGACTTCCAAACACATAACCCATAGGATTACCGTTGTAGATCTGAGCTTCCATTTGATTCTGGGTCTGGGTTTGTTGATTCTGCCGAGTTTGTTGATCCTGGGTTTGCTGGTTATGCGCTTGGCGATTGAAGCTGCCGAAAGGGATACCTTCTCCACCATGCCGGAGCTGCTAGGTGGAGTGTTCATCGTGACGTTTTAAAGCGGAAAAGCGGATCACCGCTCTGATACCATAAGAGAAACCTTGCTGCTAGGGTTGCAGCAGGTTGTAGAGAGAAGGAAAGAATGCGAGCAAATGATTGTGAGGAAACCCGCAAAGCGCTAAGGTCTCAGGGCCATTTCATTTATACTAGTGTTCAGCAGAGAAAAGCAATTAAACAGTAAAACTTGATTTGTCCGTTAAAACTGTAATTTAAACAAACATAAACGTTGTTCGCCACGTGTCTTCGTTCCATTGGCCTATTGTCTCCACCTAACGGTAAGTTCAGGTCTCCACGGCGTCGTTTCAACCATCGCATCTGCTAGGTGGAGGGGAAGGCAGAAACGAAACGTTTCTGCCCTGTTCTTCTTCTGTGCTTCAGCTGTTCTTCTTATATCATCACAGCTGCATTTCTTCTTCAATCTTCATTCAAGCTTTCTGCTCTGTTAGAAGCACCCATGGGCCTTGCTGTTGTAAAGGCTAAAGGCCCAGAGCAACGTGGGCCCTGCTAGGCTTCGGCCATATATTGCTTGGCAACATGGGCCCATTTTTCAGGATTCAGCCAGATTTTTATATTTGTCTTTTCATTTTATCCAATTTTATCGGGAAACGCAACAAATACTTCCAATTTCCCATTTTCTGTGCAAAGGCTGAGCTCTGTCAGAACTCGGAAGAGCAGGTGCCCCCAAATCCCTTCTTCTTCGTCTCCAATCGCCACCGTCTCCAAATCCCTATAATGAACGTCGCGAAAACGCCGTTCAACGGCTACTCCGTCAAATTCAGTCCATTCTACGAGGACCGCCTCGCCGTCGCCACCGCGCAGAACTTCGGCATCATCGGCAACGGCCGCGTCCACGTCTTCTCCCTTCCCCCAACCCCTACCGGAGCCCTCACCGAAATCGTCTCCTTCGACACGGCCGACGGCGTGTACGATCTCGCCTGGTCCGAATCCCACGACTCCCTCCTCATAGCCGCCGTCGCCGACGGCTCCGTCAAGCTCTTCGACACCAACCTCCCGCCGCCGCAGAATCCGCTCCGGTCCTTCCAGGAGCACACGCGCGAGGTCCACGGCGTGGACTACAACCCCACGCGCCGCGACTCCTTCGTCACCGCCTCATGGGACGACACCGTCAAGCTCTGGTCGCTCGACCGCCCCACCAGCATCCGCACCTTCAAGGAGCACGCCTACTGCGTCTACTCCGTGGCGTGGAACCCGAGGCACGCCGACGTATTCGCCTCCGCCTCCGGCGACTGCACGGTGAGGGTTTGGGATGTGCGGGAGCCTGGATCGACGATGATAATCCCCGGCCACGAGGCTGAGATTCTGTACTGTGATTGGAACAAGTATGATGAGGGCTTGATTGCCACTTCCTCGGTGGACAAGAGCGTTAGGGTTTGGGATGTGAGGAATTACAGGGTGCCCGTTGCGTCGTTGAATGGGCATGGATTCGCGGTGAGGAAGGTGAAATTCTCTCCTCACCATCGCAATTTGATGATGTCTTGCTCCTACGACATGACGGTTTGTATGTGGGATTTCATGGTGGAGGATTCGCTGGTGGGAAGGTACGATCACCACTCTGAATTCGCTATTGGGGTGGACTTCAATGTGCTTGTTGAAGGTCTGGTTGCGAGTACCGGATGGGACCAGATGGTTTTCGTCTGGCAGCATGGTACTGAGCCTAGAGGGCCTTGAAAACTTTGGAGGGTTAGTGTTCTTGGTCTCTGTTCTAGTAATATGATCCCTTGTTGTTCTGTGGTTTGCACCATTGATGCCAAAGTAACTGAAATTGCAATAGCTCGAGGTGTTCGAATGTGATACCTGTTCAGGATGGAGTTTAAGTAAGCAAGCATCTCTCGTTTTCCATTGCAGCAGCATGAATGGAACTAGTTCAGGATTGAGTTTGGCCGTGTCTCTCTTGGTTGATTGATTACCTCTTTGACTGATCCCCCTTGTATATCACTTTTCCAGTTGTGTGAATGGCAATAAGATCTCATTCATCTGTGGAAACTTTCTGTTTATTCCCAGGTTTGGGTTCATTGAGTTATGGAAGTTGCATAGCTGATTGATCATCCGAAACCTGCTTGATACTACTTCTGTTTAGAAATGAAAACAGACATACCCTTTTGCTGCACTTGGAAGTATGATGCATAAATGTTGTCCTTTTGAATTGAATTCGTGCTCTGTGCCTTCAATTGTGTCCCAATATGTTTGCCTACTGTTACTTTACCGCCACCCAGTTGCTGAGTTTCCTATCTGTATCTTGACAAGATTGCAGTTAGGATTATAATCTATCAGTGGTTCTCATACTCAGTTGGCTGAAATGATCACAGAATGTGAAATCAGCTGCACCGAGTTGCTGTAACCCTTTACATTGGACTGATCCTTGGGCCCAGATCTATGGCTGGAACTTGGGCCCAGCTAACGATGAAGGCTACGATCTGAAGCTGGGCTTGAAGGCTAGTAGTTGATTCTATAACCAAGGCCCATGGAGGAACAATCTAGGCTTCTACTAAATATAATAAAGAGTACTTATAGTAAGACCAAAATGTCAGTTTCAGCTAGCTAGTAATCCAAAGATGTTGTTATGTATATGCTGTAGTGAAGTTGATAGATCGGTTGCACGTTGGTTTCAGTCACGTGTTGGTGTTAGTGCAATGAGCCAAAGGGCAAGGAATCACAGAAGGAGAGATAGATACACAGATAATGACTTAAATTGTATTGCTTGAGGACTGAAGGGGGCCCCTGCAGGAAAACGATACCATAAACGTCCTTAATTGATGATGGTGAGAGGCTGAGAGTAGCATGGGACTAGTGTAGAGGCTGGAGCTAAGAGCTAACTACATACTTATAGGTAAAGTAATCGATAAATTCTCTTTTCATTCTCTCGTGATGTCGCATGTCATACTACTCATATTCTAATATCCTCTGTAAATTGAAGGTGATTACAGTCCAACGATTTGAAAACCGAAACAAAAAAAATATATATATGGAAACTATGATGAACAATGTGGCAAAGAAAACAAAAAAGGGTAAAAATGAAAACTGCTCTGCCAAATATGCCGATGTCGATGCAAACCTGGCCACATGCCTCGTGACATGCCGATGTTGATACGATGGGGATGACGAATGTTCTTGTGAGATGTCGTCTTGCCCCGTCAACCCAAGTGTCTGACAAAATAATTGGCTACTGTTTTGCACTGAAGGAAGCCACAAAACCAAGCAACGATCAAGAAGAAGGATGCTCCAGATTAATGAGACCTAGAGATTTTATTTGTCACGAAAAACAGAACCACGTACCGCGAACAACAACATGACAGGCGAAATGCTCGACAACAGAATCACCCCTCCTCAGTACCATCATTGAAACGAGAGAAAAAAAAATCGGAGATGTTTCGAAGAGCATTTTGCCAAATCGAGATATTCTGAACATCTAAAATAAATCTGTTCCGAACAAAACTCTCCAAGTCATTAAAAAATCAGACGAAAGCTCTATATTTGTACCAAACAGAAACGGGCTTCAACTACTCCAACTAAAAACTCTTTTCAATCTCCATCATAACCGATCACCAATTCACCGCAGTACCAATAAACACGTAGACCCCAACATCAGTTCCCACACAGAAGTACAGTAGTGAAGGGTAACTCTACTGAGCAAGTGTGCTTTTTGGTAGTTTGAAGTTAAAATAGGACAAAGGGAATGATCACTTTCGTTTTCTCCTTCCGTCTTGTGTATCATACCAATACCATCCTTGTTTTGTGTAAATTTGAAGATCCGGCCTGGGATTCTCCCTCAAAGCCTAAAAAGGGAAGAAAAAGAGATCGGACGGCAGGAAACTAGAACCCAGTCAACTACCGTGTCCCAGAAGAATTCGTCAATTAGATAGGTTAGTCAAAATATGGAAATTGGCAGACCGGAAAATCAAAAGAGACAATCTTTCTTTTCTTTTCTTTGCCTTTTCCTTTACTGAGTAACGACGAAGAAGAAGAAGATGAACAAAGTTATGGACGAGGGAAGAGGATGTGGGGGCCGCCCACGAGCTGCCTCTGCCCTGCCTCCTCCGTTAAGCAAGTAACATGGCCAATGGATGATGAAAGTAAAATGAACCACCGCAATTGAAGGGGAAGAATGGGTTTTTCTCAAGGACTAAACGACATGGGAACGCCCAAAATACGGCAATCAATCAATCTAATCTAATCTAATCTTCCTCGGCTAAATTACACGGTTGGTCACTCAGATCCCAATGGAAGGATGCTTGGAGGAAGATGTCCGTACAGAGAAAAGAAAATCAGTTCTCAGGGCAGAAATTAGAGACGAATTTGTTTTATCGTTGAGAATATTGCGGCCGAACATCATGAGAAAAAAAGGGGAAGAAAACAAGTAATCTACGTTCGGTGAGATCTCTGCAGAACAAGAAATCGGGGGAAGTGTATCTGTCGATTCTTTCACTGGAACGGAAACGAATATCTGGGGACAGTCGGTGGGTGGGGGGGTTTTAGGCCGACTAGCGGTCAAGTTAGTCTGAGTTGGGTTAAATTTGAGTGGTTCGATTTTATGTAAGCCAACTCTGCAGTCTTGTTTGTCACATCGTCAAAAAAAAAAAAAAAACTTTATTAACGGGTCTCAAGGTAATAAACTACGGATAACTAACAGTGAGTTGATTCTTAAAGAGACTATTATAGTTATACTAATGACTAGGAAGAAAGAAAAAAAAAATCGGATGAGGAAGCATTTAATTTACCAAATCTTCCTGATACCAGTTTCCCCTAGTGGAGTTTGGTGTAATTAGAGGGCAAAAGATGAGATCTGCAGTCTCCTTTCCATTTGCTTTTTCTCTCCCAATTAAAACATGAAACACAAGACTACTACTTCTAAGTGACTAATAATGCTGATTGGTAGTAGGGATATACATTATTGTCCCTTTCCAACTAAAACCAATGTGGTATATGATGCTAACATATAACAATCCACATTAAAGTTTGCAGACAAATCAATTTTGCACCGGTCACTTGGCCTATTGGAGTTGTTGGGTCCAAGACAAAAAACCATGGCCAAATCAATTTGCTACAGTGACTAATTTTGAGAGATCATGGGCAATATATTTTTTTATAGCACACCATCTAAATGATCATTTGATAGAATATAATTTTACAGTTTTTTTTTTTAAATCAACCCCATTTTACCATAAATTCTGGGTACGTCACTAAGAATGGGTGATATAATGTGGTATGAACATATCACAGTAGTACATTACCATCTCCTACCACCAATGCACAATGAGTTACCATGGTGGTATGTTATAATCATATCACGTTGCATTATCACCCCTACCACGAAGGCACAATGAGTTACTACGAAGGTATTGGATGGTGTAGTGTGGTATGATCATATCACGGTATATTACCACCTCCTACAACCAACACAATGAGTTGTTGTAGTGGTACGTGGTGATTTAGTGTGGTACGTTTATGTCACACTATTTTACCACTTCTTACATACATGGCGGCACATATATATCCGAATTGTCGCTTGTTGATCATTGATGCTTCGACTGGACTGTACTGGTTGATTGACGATTCTTTGATTAGAGATTTTGAACCTTTTTCATAGTTCTTTAGATTTTTCTTTCAAAATCCACAGTTGTTTGAGAGAGTACGAACATTGCATATATGTTTGAGAGAGAAGACGGAAGATAGAGAGTGTCGAGTTAGGGAAGAGGACATTGTGTTTTGTTTCGTTGGGAGAGAGAGAAGGTGATAAAGAGAGTCACATTGAGTTGCTCATATGATCCGGATCCCTACAATGAAGAATGAACCAAAGTATCAATATATCCTGTTCACGGAATTGGATTGGAGCATGGGGTGTCGTTTTATTCATTGGATCATGCAACATGCATTTCCTGACAACCGACATAGATGCTTCAAATTATGTTCAATCTGTCTAATGGCTATACCATTTTCTTTTGTATATGAAGTGGGTGGAATTTTATGCCAATTACAAAAGGAGAATATAATGTGTACTATAATTAGAATATATATTTATTTGATTGGAAAGGAGTAGTAGGTAGGCAATCCATCAAGTAATTCAATAAAATTTCATTAATATAATGTGTACTAGGTTCATTTTTTTTGCCATAGTGTACTAGGTTCATTACGAATAAAAGAAAGAATATACAACCTACAGATTACAACAACATAATAACGATAGCTCTATTAATCCTATGTTTTACCCTTAAAAAAAAGAAACTAAGTTCGTACGCGACCACTGATTAATTGTCACTTGGTGCACGCACGTAAAAACCCAAATATTCCACAACTAAAAATTGCATTTCCAACATGATAACTATATCTCCGCAGATCAAAATCGACGGACAGATAAAACACGAGTATGAAACAATATACCGACCACCACAATATTAATTATTCAGTACAATTTACCGTAATTCTATACTATATCATCGTAAAGCAAGTTACATTCTCGAAGCTAGGGCTAGTGTCCATTTGCATACCATTACTTTGGCTTTAACTTGAAACGTAGAAAAGATAAAAGGGAAAGATGGCATGCCTTGGAAGGTGAATAAAATTGGAGGGAAAGTGGGAGAAGAAGAAGAAGAGAATGATTAACACAAAAAAGAAAGAAAAATGGCGCCCTTGCCTTGCGATGTGGAGAACGTAAGGTAAGGTCAGGGAAAGTTTTAGGGTCTTTTCTTCTTCTATGGCTCCTCTGTTCTTCGAACTTGCCATCACGTTGTTGTGTGTGATTAAAAACTAAAGTGGACGGCGGTCCATCCTTCTTCCAGCCGTCGCCGTCCCCAACGCCGGGACCCCAAAACAAATTCCTTTTCAACAACCGTCCTAATCATGTTGTATTATGATGATGATTATAATGCCCTCTCCAACCGTCTGTCTGTCCCTCCCCAACTAACCCTAGGTCCTCACTCAATGTACGAGCCAAAAGTTACAATACTAATCCGTGGGGTGTGCCTATTATGATCGATGCATGTTTGCAGTGGCGGAGTTAGGTCGAAGTTAGCAGGTATATATCTAGGATTGTTTGTTTGTAATTGATTTATTTTTGCCGGTTTTTAATTGAAATCGAATTGTTAAAAAGTTTAATTATTCGGTTATTGAATTTGAATCGTTTAGCATCTTGATGATTTTAGTTTTGGTTAAATAAGAAACTGATAACACACTAACTAAGTAAGTGCCCGCGTCAACGACTCACGGTGTCACCAACTTATGCATATAGGCTTTGCTCATATATTTATTCTTTCTTGTTGGCTCTTTTGTTGACTCCCCAAACTATTAGTTTGGTTTTTCATTTTTTTTTTTTTTGGTTTATTCAAACCAAAACCATGAATGACCTTAACGATTTTGAGTTAACCAATAATCGATAAGACTCTCAGAGATTTTGGTTTTGATTTTTGGAAATCTGTCTGATTGGTTCTTGGTTTTTTTATACTTAATGGTTTGGTTAACCAAGCCAAACCAAACCGACAGTTTTAACTATAACCCCTCTAAACTTTGAAATATTGTTAAGATTACATATAATATATCTGGTACCGTGAATATATGTTTGATTTTCATGAATATCATCTATAATTTTTTTTGTATTTATGAAACTCGCTCTATGCAAATACAACTAAGTTAAAAAGACTAAATGATGGGAAAAGCCGAAAGAAAATGACCCATATAATCATTAGCTATGAACCTAATGCATAGTGTCCTGCCTTTAGTTTGAATATTCTAGCTCAAAAAAAGTGTTTAGAAAGCATAAGTAATAATCAACTCAACCGTAAACAGGATCATTGACATAATTGATTCATGCAAAAACGTTAACCCCATTAATTATGATGTTTATCAAATTTGCGATCACTTCCATCGATTGTGAGTACGAATCTATCATCCTTTAAGAAAGTGAAAATATTGTTTGCTAGACTATTTAAGGAAGTTAATATCAACTTTTTCTGCAGTGAATTGCCACTTAAATATTTATAAAACCCATTGGATTGTGAATTTATGATAATCAAGTTTCATGATTTTTGAAAATTGTTTATGTTTTTATTGAATTACATATTTAAACAAACTAATTATAATCCTTTTTTACTACATCACTACAACACAATGTTTTGTGTGTGTACAATGTATAATAATTATCAAAGAAAAAATAGCAAAATACTACAGAGGGGCGATATATTTATGATATTTTCTTTTTTACTTTGAGGAATAATATTACACAATTTTTATTTATTATCTTTGACTTGGAGTGTATTGATAATATTGTTTGCTTCATCTCTTTTATATTTATATTGTCTTTGACTTCATGTGTCAAGAGATATCACATGTTTATATTTTGGGGAGTCAACTTATAGCTAAGAAGATTCATAAAATAAAGCACATTTAGGACGATAGCCACCGCCGCGAAGCTCTTCTTGGACTGCGGCTTCGTATTTGACGACGTGAAGTACATTGTCGCATGTTTTTAAAATCGTATCCATTTTTCGACCAAAAGAAGAAAATAGTTTCCGTTTAGCACCAAAATGTCTAACCATGCGACTAAGGAGGTTTCTCTCTTATAATAAGTTTCCCTTAGAAACAAATTATGTTTAGTTTTCTTTTTTGAGTAATTTGTGATTGTATCATAAAGAATATATTAAATTACTCTTATTTATCTGACATGATATGATTACGTTCATAGTGATACAATGTGTCTTATCACAGTGGTAGGATTTTCTGTTAAATTTAACAGAAACTCTTAACGAGGATGAAAACTTAATGCATAGTTGTCATAAAAAAACTACGGAATATAAACAAAAATTTGGTGATAAATCAATATTTTTAGTGATAATATTTACAAAAAATTAGGAATCAAAGGCACCTGAGATAACAACAAATCGCTTATTAATTAGTTATACTTATATCCTCCTCGAGGACAGCGAAGAGGAGCAGAAAGAGAATTTGACAGGAAAGTTGTTTAATCTTCCCGCCGGACGGTTTTGTCAACGATTAGAAATTAATTATCGAAAATCCGCCCACTAATTGGGACATTAAATTCCCTCATTAATTCGCAGAATAAAAGGAGGAGACTAATTAAATTCTCTACCAAAAAAGTGGCCGCGCGCAAAATTTGAGCCAAAGGCGCAGCAAAAGCGGCAATCACTGCTACAGAGCTAAATTGCCATCCGCTTCGCCCCACTCGGCCCTCCAACCTTCCATTTCCCCCACCTCCTTTTTTTCTCTCACGCTTTTCGTCGAACACTTTCCTTTCATTGCTTCAATCCCTTCCCCCAATCCTCGCCTTCTCTGTGGGAACAAAAACTCAGACCTCCACACTCCATCATCATCGCCGCACTCTTCACTCGACTCACTCTGCTCACTCTCGGTAAGTTCTTTGTCGATCTTTTCGATTGGTTGGTCTCGATGATAATGGCCATGGAAAATTCAACTCGCCTGTGGGCGAATTGAATGCACTTGACGACGTGATTGACTGGGCAGTGGGGAAACTGCTGCTGCTAGCCTTGCAGACGTTCCCCGCAGTCTTGAATTGAGTTCCCATGTCGGCCGGTCGGTCGCCCATTGGAGTCTTTTTAGTTTTTATCCCCGGTCCAAGGGTTCTAAGTGGGAATTAGTGATTGGGGAAAAGTGGTTTTCTTTCTTTCTGACAGTTTAGTTGCAGGAAGGAAGGATCGCATCGTTCTCCAGATCCCTATGCTACTCGATCTTTTGTAGTTTCTTCCGTCTTCTTGTGCCACCATTAATGCTCTTTGTTTTCTTTCAGACGAAAATATCCACGTCCTGTTTTCCTTGTTCACCAGTCCTTAATCCTTTCGCTTTCTCTCGAGTTCATGACCCAATTGCCTAAAATTGTTTATCTCAGTGTTTCCTTCCCCTGTTTTGGTTCTTAACCCTGCTTTACTTGTCTTGCAATTCTTTCCAGTTGGTGTTCTCAATTGGGAATTTTGGGATAGCTGTTTGAGGAATTCAAGGAGTGTTCTTGAGCCGAGATTGTGCTGTTCGTGATGGCGGAAAGGAAGTTGAACTTCAATGCTCCTCTTCTATCCGTGAGGCGATTCTCTTCCCCAGTAAGAACTTCAGAAGCTAGGGGAGACGTGAAAGCCGAAGATTCCAAGCTCGACAGGCGCTACTCCCTTCCTACACAGAACACAGACTCCAGTTTGGAGCAAGTTACGGAGCCCGTCGCAGTTCCGTTCAATTGGGAACAAATCCCCGGCAGGAGAAAGGACAGTGGCGGCCACGGCGTAGCTGAGCCACGTGTCCGTGAAGCGAATTATGCTTCTCCGAGGTTTCCTATCAAATGGGTTCCCGGTATTGTGAAGAATCACGAGGACAAGAAACTTAAAGTTCATACCCCTGCAACTGTAACTACCCAGTTGAAATCCAGTTCATTAGACCACAAAGTGACTGGGGCGACGGAGACCGTCTCCAAAGGAGCTAATGGGAATGGAGATAATGATGACGAGAATGAAGATGACAGGTACTCTGATGCACTCGAATCCTTATCTGCTGCAGATTCCTGTTCCATGAAATGCAGCGTAAGTGGGATTAGCAGCTCCGATTGGCCGGTTGTTAAGCCATCGGGGACTTTCTCAACGGACCCACAAACCCGAGATTTCATGATGAGTCGGTTCTTGCCTGCTGCCAAGGCAATGGCTTTGGAGCAACCTCAGTATGCCACGAAGAAGCAACCTGCGCCAGTGGTTGAGCAACCGAGGCAGATTGTCATAAAGCAAGTTCGCAGGGATAAGTCACCCACCGTTGCCCGTTACGAATCTGCTCTAGTTCCATATTACCCGAAGGATGTAGAAGAGCCGGAAGAAGGTGAAGAAGAATGCGATGAATATGATCAAGAGTCTGTGAATATAACAAGTAAAGCTTGTGGGTTTTTCCCTCGCTTATGCTTTAAGAATTCAGTCTGCCTCTTGAATCCTGTTCCTGGGATGAAAGTTAAAAGCTTGCCTTCCTTCTCTTGCTCCACTGGAAAACCCAAGAAGCCTAGTAGTAAAGCACCTAGTCGTTCTAGCAGCCCAAGTTCCAAAAAGGTAAACAAATTGAACTCTTTCAACTTCATCTGCTGTTTTCCTTCTTTAATGTTAAAAACTCTTACGCTTTCGATTATGTTCTTTCGCAGGCTTCTAAGGAGAATTCTCGTGAACTGAAGCAACGAAGTGGAACTCAATCGCCTAGGTTCAGTGGTTCCGAGAGTTTCAATTATGCAAGCGACAAGCAAATGACTGGAAGGATATCTCCGTTCAGTCGACGTTCGGGGCCATTATCCCCTTACCGCAGTGCTCCACAGTCACCATTCCGAGGAACTGGGCCTCGTGGACTATCCAAAGAAGCTGAAATGTTCAAGTCCAGCAAGCCTTATTTGTATTGCAAAGGTGGTAGCAAGTCACAGGAATTGACGCCGGTTCATCTCATTAAGCAAGGTAATAACAACCATCTGAAGACACTGTATATGGATACTGTAAATTCGGCTAAAGCATCGCGTCCAAGTTCTGGAAAGGAGCTCGTGCTAGTTCCAAAAAGCAGGGAGTTGGGGAAACTTGGAAGAACAGAATCTTCTTTGAAGGCTGCTGCTGCCAAACCCAATTCTCCACTGGACCAGTTATGTGCAGATTCTAAGGCGTTGGTGTGTGTAAGTGGAAATGATTCAGGAACTGATCCACTGCCTCCTCTTCTGCCTAAAACGCCATCGGAGTCATGGCTTTGGCGCACTCTGCCTGGGGTCTCGTCCAGAAGTCCTTTCGGTCGTGCTACTAGCTCCCAGAGCAAGTGGATTGATTCCAAGACGACGAGCAGCAAGTGGGAGACTATGGTGAAATCATCTTATGTGCATCACGATCAGGTCCGCTATTCTGAGGTAGTTCACATTACTCCTTCTCCTTCATTCATGTTGTGCCTCATTTTCTGAAAGCAAAGAACTTGCATTTTGACTTGGCTTTTCATTCTACTGGCAGGAATTGAAACCATATCCTGTCCAGCATCTGAAAAGCTAGAGAGACGCTGAAGAACTTGCTCCCTGAATCTTCTTACCTGAAATCCATGGTCAAAACCTATTCGAGCCCATTTTTTTATGGCATAAATAGAGTTTTGTAATTGCAGAGTGGATGGCTACTCTGTTATGGATTCCTCCAACGATTGGTTCGACATATCATCCAGTATGGTCGCATGTTAAGTGTGTTTTTGTGTAAAATCCTGCAGCCACCTTGACTCATAGGGTGAGGCAAACTATATAGTATACAAGTGCAGCACCTTGTAGATTGATTGATGCCCTGTAGATTCATTCATTCGATGTATCACCCGAAAGAAAGCAGCATCCTTTCATCATGACATGAAATGGAGAACAAATTAGTACAGCATTGTTGAGATACACGGCTTTTCAATGAATTTGACATTGTTTTTGCCTTTTTCTGCTGTGGGTTTGAGCTTATATCACTCCAAGACTGTGTCACCTGCTGTGGAGGGTGTATGTGTCTTATGCTTAGTTAGATCTTTCAGTATTTATTTAGTATTGACTACTGAAAGATCTGACCGATGGAACTCGAAAATCAAATAGCAACTCTATTCTTTGGGCGAAGTCAAATAACAAATATATTGGGTGCTTACCCGATGAAAATGAAAAGTTGTTCCATTATTCAAATTGAACTAAGATGTGTCACGGAAGAGCTAGAGATGGCATGACGGCTCGGGGTACAGAAAGGTCGAACCACAAACTTGATTATATTGCTGCAATGTATTGTGTAGAGTTTAGAGGATCAACAACAACAATATACATAATTTATTTCGAGATCCATGCACTTTTTCATCGAGATTGGTTTGCCTATAGCATCATGTATGAATGAAGGCAATTGTTTAGCCTAGTATTTGACCCATGAAAGCTTGTCGTCATGTTTGGTATGTATAATATTTCTTTCACTGATTTTGATATTCTGCACGGATTTATGTACGATATTGTTCTGAAAGGAAAATATCTCTCATAAATTTTAATACGATATTAGTGATACTTTGCATAATTTTTATAAAAAAATGTTTTGGACTCCGCAAATAATTTTTTATAATGGTATAGTGCAATTATGTATTTGTTATAAATGTTAGTGGGAGAATGTATTTGTTAAAAGGAAAAGTACATGGATTAATAACTTATGTGAAAAAATAACAATAGAAGGTCTCTTTGGTAATATAGTACAAATAGCATGGTACATCGACCAGAAAGCCATTATCTCCTCAAATTAGGTTTTCAACTTTCTATTCGTCTCCTTCCTTCCCGAACTCTCTAGCGACGCACCATCAGCCGCTGGTCGTCTCGGCCAATTATCCGCCGTTGTCTCGCCGTCCTGTCCGATCCCCGTCTGCGGACTGTTCGTTTCTATCGCCGGCGGTTCTGAAGAAATTGCGACTTGCGATTTTACTCCGATCCAGACGCCGCCCTCCCCTATCTGCGCTCGCGCATATTTCCTTCTGGATCCTCGCCTTCCCTTTGCCGCGGTCGTTTACCCTTCTTCGTATTCCTTTCGGAAAATTGAAGTCTCGGATAAATTCTTTTTAAGGGATTAGCGGTTGCGTGGAATTGCAGCGGCGGAAAGGAGAAAGACGTTCGACATTCGTTTGACCCCCTACATCGGCATCGGGTAAGTGTGCATCTTGCCCCCTTTCTTCTCCACGATAGCTGTTAGCTTTCGCAGATTAGGGTTAGTTCTATCTGAATTGGAATTTCCCCTAGCAGTTGATCAGATACCAAGCGCAGTGGATCGGTTTTGTTGAATCTTGGATACTATCCAATTCCTTTGTTTTCCTTTTCGAAAGAACTCCCATGTATGTTTATCTCTAGCTCAGCTGAATTAGAGATGGAGATTGTTCTGTTATTTACCCACCACCAAGCCTTTGTATCCAAAAGACTCGATCTTGGAGATGTTGAGTTCATACTAGCTTAGTTACAAAATTGTTCTTGATTTCCCGACGGGGTGCTGTATAGGTTTATGACAGATCACTGTATCGTGAACGAATTACTTTGCTTTGCGGCTCAGTACGTGGGGATTGGTTGTGTTAACATAGGCTAAATGTTAGTGACAGTTGTGGTTGTGTTCTGGAGATATGATTCAGGTTGTTGGTTTTTCTGGTTATGGAAGTAGTTCCTCATGTTTCTGTTTTTATGTAGACTTTGATGTACCCAAGTCCGAACTTAACTTGGTTTCTTTTTCCTTCTAGAGTCTTTGATTCGGACAAATGCATTGTTGTTTCTTAAGCTCATTCATAAATGTTGGCATGTTGAACATAGGCTCTTGCCTATGGATTGTTCTTTTGCATGGGTTTTCTGTCTGTTTCAGTTGGGTTGCATTATAATGTTTTAGTGCGAGGCATGCCTCCTACCTTCACCAATGACTTAATGTTTGATAGATCGAATTATGGGTCTCTTAGGGGCTTGATTGTGTTCTCAAATTGCCAAAGTTTCTTAGCTGGTCATTGTGTTCTGTCAGTTGTATCCCATGTTTTGTTAGAACCAATGCTTTCGTGGTCGATTTTGAATTATCCTTACTCTTCCATTGTTGGATGTTGGTTAAATTATTGGTCATGTCATATTTTAGCGTCAGATTGGATTTCAGTGATGCAAGATGATACCTTTCTGTCATATCCTGATCAATCAGTTCTGATATATCTATTGTCAGCACTTTCTATTCTCGAGATATAATGGATCATTCTGCATGATGGCATTCTCATCCGATGAATAAGTAGTGGCTATCTATTTCACTGTCTATCTCTTGCATTCTTTTCTATCCTTGTTGCCATGCTTAGTTTTGTGTTTGATTTTTTATTATTCCCTAACATTTTTGCATCAAATGGATACTTTTTCTGTAATCCCTCTCAGACTCAGTTTGTCAAGCACCTTTTGTCCAAACTTGAAGCAGCACGTTGAAATGACTTGTTTCAGTAACTCCATCCTAGCAAATGTTGTTGGAAGTCCATTCGTTTCTCCTTGCCTGTCGTCACTTTTCTTGTCTATAAATTATTAGTTTTCTCATGTCCTTCGTTTTACCAACTCCCCACACTCTCAGAATTGTGCAATTTTCATCACTAATATGGTTTGCTTCAGATTGCAGGATTAATCTATCTATTTCAAGATGCCGGCCACAGCTGGACGCGTTCGCATGCCCGCTAACAACAGGGTGCACAGTAGTGCCGCCCTTCAGACTCACGGCATATGGCAGAGCGCCATCGGTTATGACCCTTACGCCCCCAACAAGGATGAGTCGAAACCTTCAGCACAGCAGGCAGCATCGTCCGCATCTGCTGCCGAACCTGAGGGTGAAAATGCTTATGCTAGCTTCCAGGGTCTCCTGGCACTTGCACGTATCACCGGTGGCTCAAGTGCAGCCGATGAGGTCCGCGGTTCTTGCAAGAGATGTGGACGTGTTGGACACCTCTCGTATCAATGTCGAAACTTCCTCAGTACGAAAGAAAGTAGTGGCAAGGACAAAGACGGTCTACTTCAAGCTGCTGCGCTCTCGGGACTGGACAAATTAAAGGGCAGTAATGGCAAAGGTAAAGAGGAAGATAGTGACGAAGAAGACGAGGAGAGCGAGACCTCGGACTCTGATGTGAATCCGGAGATTGAGAGGATCATTGCTGAAAGGCAGGGTAAGAAGAGCAGCATGAAGGTGAAGTCCTCTAAGAAGAAGATGTCGGATTCTGATGAAGATGCTTCGGATTCCGATTCAGAGAAGAGGAGCAAGAGAGGGAGGTCGAAGAAGAGGAGGAGCAAGAAGAGAGTGAGCAGCAGCAGCGACTCGGAGGATGAAGGCAAGGGGAGGAGACGGAGGAAGGAAAAGAGGAGGAAGAGAGACGATGATTCATCCGAAGATGAGGAAGAGCGGCGCCATCGAAAGAGGAAGAGCCGGAAGGAGAAGAGGAGGAGGAGGAGCCACCATCATCACTCCGACGATTCTGATTCGGAGGCTAGCGAGTCTGCTGATGATGCTAGGGTTGGAAGGAGGACAAAGAGGTCTGAGAAGAAGAGTAGGAAACGTCGTCATGAAAGGGAGTAGTGAAAGACTTGTTTCTCTGCATAAATGAAGATTCTTCCTGGGGTTTTTCTGGACTTCGCGGTTGATGATTGTGGTTTGATGTGGTGTGTTTATGTGGGTAGTAAATCGTTTGTGTTGAACCATATTCCTCCCGTCTCTGTGGTCAGAACTGCAGATGTAATGTGTTCATTGATGTTATTCCTTGCTTTTTGATTCCCACCTCACTGGGAGAGGACAAATGTTGTTCCCGACTCTGTACGTAAAGTAGTTTGTTGAATGTTGTTGATCTTTGCTCTTTTATCATAAACCAGTACAATACCACCTAGGGCTGAAACTGAGCGCCTGTTAGAATTCTGTCTGACCGTCAGCCAGTTAATAAAACTGACCTACCTCGCCCTGCCCCTTCCCTGTTTTCTTCTCTAGTCTCTACTCTGTTTAGGGTCGGGTTGGCTCAAATAAACACTTATTTTCTGAATTTTATATTTTGTACCCACATTAAATTTCTAACAATTTAGTATCTAAACTTTATTTTTTACAAATACTGCAAGAAATTTTGGCGGTAAAAGTACATTTTAATACCTTTATTATATATCTTATCTTGCATTAGAGTAACTATACTTTTAAGACTTTACAAATAGGTCCAATTTGTTGTGATATAATGAAGAGTTTGATATAACTAGTTGTTGTTATGGGTCACAAGATCAAAAAGCGACCCCAACATGACCCAGTCTAACACTCATGATCAAGGCATATCAGTGGATTTCTAGAACCACGCTTACACCCAAGCTACTTCTAGACTAACACTTTGGTATAGTTGAATAGGTATGATAAGTGGAAAATTTCCTCATAAATTTCGGAAACCGTTCACCGCACAAGAATTATTCTCCTTGCATAAGAGTACTATCCTGACAAGACTAACTCTTTTGTCACCACGAAGAGTTGCGATGAGTCGATGACAAGAAAATATGATATATTGATGCTATCTCATAGATTGAGATTACGTTATAAATAACGTCTCACAACATTCTTTCAAGATTTTCTTAATGCATGCCACCTTGATTAATCACAAAGCAAGTACACATATACGCTTACTCGGCCGCTACATTTAATACAAAGATCCAACATACACATTCTTATTACTCTCGTGTCCCCTAAGTTTCCATTCTGCGAGAAGACGCATAAACAAACAATCTCTTTATTCTTTTCGAAAGATGATATTAATCACTTAACGTGATGGCACACATCCATCAGCTTCCTCAATCTGCATTGCGATACTCTCAGTTGACCCTGTAGGTAATTCACGTAAAATATGTCGTAGTAAGAAGTGGAAAACGTACAGTTGCATACTATATGCAATACTTTTAATAGTGCGGTGTTAACATAATTAAAGTAACTAGCGTGGGCCCCGACCATTTGGCCGGAGGAAGGTGAGATATGAAATTTGATAATGTAATGGGGTGTATAGCTTATTTGTGTATAGTTTTTTTTTTTGGGAAACACGTGATAAAAATAGTGAATTTTAGTAGGAAAGAGACATGAATGATGCAACGAATCAAAAATCGGCCTTATGAACCAAAATCAAGTACCTGTTACCTTGTGAAATAATATTATTTCTGGTAATATGATGAGGTGGAGTAAGTTTTATAGAAACCGAATTCCAGAAAATCGAATAAAAGATCGCCTATCCCGCCGGTTTTCGGGAAATGAGTATCTCACAATCGTTGCTAGTTTTTACTCGGCCCGTTGGCCGATTAATTTGCTTTATAAAACTTTCATCTTGTCATCATTGTGCTTTCTGGTTTTTTGCCAAGCCATGATAAAATCTAAAGAAATCAGGAATGAACAACACGATTTGGAATAGGAACCACCATTCCTGTATCCCTAGAAAATGGTGGTAAACACGGACTCACCTGCCAAACTGGTTTGGATTGAGATTTTTATCGGGTATTAGGGAACCATGTGATTATAAATTAGACTTGATCAAAACGGGCCAAAACTTGAAATTCAGCATGTTTGACCGACACATGCCAAACTCTAATTATTCTTTACTTTTAAACTTTCTATTTGAAAATAAAAAATAATAAAAGAAAAGAGATGACTGCAATTCGCCATTTGCACATCACTGATTCGGGAATAAAACTATAGAATTTTGAAAGGAAACTGAAAATATTAAGGATCGTTTTAATGTTAAAAATAACCAAATAGATCTTTATGTTTAGTTTTTTACTAACAAATACCAAACGATTCCCTATAATATACACTATAATTTAATCATTATGATATCAAATAATTACATAATATATATTTGAAATGATAAAAATTGGACTAATTGGGTTGGTCGAGGTTGAACCATTGAATAACTTTAAAATACATTATATTTTAGCCACTAAGATATAAAATAATAGCATAATATATAGGCAAAATACATCTGAGTAGCCATAACTTTGCACTTTGTGACAATAATAGCAAATTTTTGAAAAATACACAGATATAGCCACATTTTAAAAATACGTTTGACAAATTTAGCCATTTTCGTTATAAATATTAACGATGTTAGAAATTCCGTTAACATCGACAACAAAAAGCTGAGGTGGACGCCACCTAAGCACACACATCAACTCTAAGTCGCCATGTCATGCCACGTGTACGCCACGTAGGATTAAAAATATGCTTGATTTAAAAGTATTTATATATAATAATTAGTAATTCTTTTTATTAATTATTAAACAAGGAGGAACTCACGCCATTGTTAATTAAGCACCCAGATTAACTCTTCGTGCTCGCCACCCTTCTTTTCGTTGCAGAATCAGTGCCGCCGCTTAGGGTTGTTCAGTTTCTCGATCTGGACTTTTCAAGGAGGAACTCACGGTGGAGATAGCGGATTTTTCGCCATGTCATCCCTCTGCTTCTGAGCGAGCGCCAATGACAATGGGCTAGGCGATTTTTGATTTTTCCTCTCTTCTGAGCGAGCTTCTATCTTTCCCCCATCGCCGCTAATGAAGCTCAAACAGGGCCATCATCCACAAATCCAACAGCGGCTGAAGATCAAATCCCGCCGATCCCAGATCCTGATTCCCAGGTTGAGATTAAATGGGAAGGCGGGGAATTTTTGTCGTGGCAAAGGGGATTTTTGCCTTTGCCGATGCCACAACCAACGCCTTCTCATTCAACGACTACTGCCATTTCAATGGAGTAAGGGGTTTGGTGAAGCATCGAGAATGGGGAAGAAGAAGCAGTGGCAGAGAAGGAAGGGGCTGCTGGAAAATGACTACTGGCTGTGATTCTTTTTCAACATCGTCGATTCATTAGGGTTTTTGCTCCACCACCGCCGCCACTGCCAAACCCCAGTCCACAGCTGAAGGGATTGGAAAGACGAAGAGGAAGATGACGATGAGGTGCAGTTCAGATATGGAGTCAGGGAGTTGGATTAAGAAGTCCAAGTGCCGAAAGGGAAATTACGGCAGCGGATCTAGAGGATCTCGAGAAAATAGCTTGTTTTAGAATGACAAACTCATGATGTTCATTTGTTTTACTTGATGGGCAAATCCCGTGTAGGTCAGGCCCATTCAACTGTTTTATTTTATGATTAGCGGTTAGCCCATTAGAATCCATGCATTAGTTTATTGTTAATTTTTTTTCTTTTTAGCAATAAAAATGAGTATTGTTTTTGCCTTTTCATATATATTTTACCACCACGGAGAAATAAAAGGACTTAAAGAAAAAATTGACACTCATGGACCCGTTTAAATTCGCATGTGTACGGTAAGTTGGCCCGTTCCACAGAGGAAAAAGAAAAAATTGACACTCCCTATTCTACCCTTACTACAAACGCTCATGGAGCAGGGAATTTGAAATGGGGGAAGGGTTTTTTTTTTCTCTCTGCGATTATATGTTTTTAATTTAAAAAGATACAACAAATGTACTTTTAGTGTGATTGGTTATGATCTTTGTTTTTTTTTAAAGTGGTCATGGTTCGAATCCTAGTAAGTGTATTTTTGTGAAGACCAAAATGTCCTTTCTACTTTCACTCTGGATGCAGGAAAGTTGAAATGGGCTTCAAGTTTTCTCGACGGTGTGGTTGTAACGTGGCTGGAAACTGGAGTTGTTTTTGTGTGAGAAAACTGGAGACTGACGCCCATGGCTTTCAAACAGTCGCAAACCTCCCGCCTGTCAGCGCAAGCCGGCACCAAGGGGCCCTTCCCTCTGATGTAATCCAAGCACGGCGACATGCACGATAGCACAAAATAACGATCCACGGCGCCGTCGGCTAGCTGCCCACTCGCCGCCGCCACCATCAGCGCCACGCAGACCTGAAGCTTAGTAGCGCCGGCCATGATATTGTTGATCACTAAACCTTTCACTGTAAAATATGCAAGCCTAGCTGGGTGTGGTTTTTATAGATCGAGAATTCTGAGCGTGTGAACCGTTACAGGTGGTAATGGGTCGAGTTTCTCTAAATGACTAAATCTAAACTCAATTTAATGAGTACACTCGTTAGAAAAAAATTCGGTTGAATACTTATTGGATTAAAAAAAAAAAAATTTGGTACATCCACATATCGTAATGTTATTGAAATTTTTCCTATAAATATACCTCCATAAAGACTATCAGCATCCATTAAGTATTCATATTAATATGTTTACATTGCCATCAAGAATAGTAGCGTAACATCCATAAATTATTCATATTATTCCGGTTAGATATAAAATGGTGTCGATTTGTGGTAATCTCGAACCAGCTGGAGGTCTCAGGTTTGAATCTTTTAAGTAGTACCTACTAACAAAACAATAACCTAGCTATGTCACCCTTAACATAAAATGGCGTCGTTTTGATTTATGGATGTACGTAGGTATAAGGTGGAAAGCATCCTAACCCGCCCACAGCTCTCTAATTTCAAAAGCAGGTAAAATCCACACCCGACTCAAACCCAATCAATAAGGGTGCGTTTGGATAAGTGTATTTTAAATGTAAGGTATTTGAAATACTAACATTTGAAATGGATGTATTTGAAATATTAGCATTTGAAATACATGTAATTCAAATTCATTGTTTGGATACTCATTTGTAATTTTTTGTATTTTTTATTTTACAATTTTCAATTTGAATTTTTAAATTTGTGGTCACTTACTACAAATTTTGGTAAATTACAGTTTGGTACCCAAAATTATTTTTTCTTACAATTTAGTATCTAAAGTTTTAAAATTTTACAAAAAGGTCCTGAAATTTTGATGGTAAAATTACATTTTGGTACCTTTATATGTTTTGCCCCACACTATAGTACCTAAACTTTTCATATTTTACAAATAGGTCCATTCTTTTGTTAGGAGGTATTTCAAATCACTAGTTGTTGAAATGTATTTGAAGTTGACAAAAAATACACTAGACATGTATTTGGAAATCACCCCATGAATTTGACACAAATCCAAATACAAAATGTAATCAATATCCAAACACATGATTTGGTATTTAGAAATCCAAATTACAAATACCAAATCCAAATCATTGTATCCAAACGCACCATAAGGAATTTTACCTGTTTTGGCCTGATTGAATCGGATCGGATATTCGTGAGTTTGGATTTCATTACCAGCTGTGCTGTGTATTTGTACGAACGGAAGCTGATTGAAGTAGTAGTGCACGTTGCGATTTCAAAGGTACATGTACTGGAAGGAAACATCTCACGTTCGCCCACTTTAACTAGGTCATGTGATGTGCCGTGATTGAAATCAATGGGGTAGTGTTGGAGATAAATCGATGATAAGGTTTAGCGTAGTCTTTATCGAATTATAGGTCTTATTGGCGACCAGCGGCGGATCCATGACACAGTAGAGTATTGGGCCGAATTTCATTAGAAAATTAGATATCGTAAAAAATTACAGTTTTTTTTACAATATCAATTGTACACGTCGATCTTTTAAATATTAATATAGTGAATTCATCAATAATAGAGTTTACATCCATACCAATATCATACTCTTTTTAAGATAAAATAGTTAAACCAATTGACGAAAAATTCATCGCTCATTTTGTTGCGCACATAAATTTTCACCTATTTCATTGTTGAAAAGGTTCTCTCCATAGTAGTTGTTGAAACGAGCAATGTCTACACTGGACAAATCAATCGACTAATCAATATATATTGTGTATCAATACCTATTTTCACCAGCTTCTCTAGTAATTTCTTAAGGGAATAAACGTCATATTTCTTTTAGTCTTTTACGTTTTAGAATTTTAGGTTTCATAGTTTGTTTTTCTTTAGATGAGAATCATTGGAGCTAGAATTTTCATGTTAAATTTAAAGTTGTGATTTGAATATGTTCATCTTACCAATTTTTCTAATTACACACAATCTTATTATAAATTAACACTGGGCCAAATGGCTAACATTGATAAACTCATAAGAACTATACTAGCTCCGAATCCAGGAGAGGGCTGGGCCGGGTGGCCACCTCCTGGGATCCGCCACTGTTGGCGACAAGGTGGGCACTAATTAATCTATCAAGTTTCTCCAAATTCAAATTCAATCCAGCATATACATTTTATAAAAAAAATTATTGTTTTCTTTTCTGGCAAGAGAACTCTTGTTTTGATATTAATGAATTACACATGGTTGTTTTGGGGAAAATTCTTAGTTCCAACATTTACGTCCAACCAGCTATATGCCAGTTTTCTTTTGGTGAGTTCATCTTTCTTTTGTATATTTTAATTTCTTATTTATTTAGTATAATTAAGAATATTAAATATTAAGAAAAAAGGAAGGTGAGACCACCAATAATAAACTGATATGTTGGATGGTTGGAGCTTTTGCGTCCAACCAAGATTGGAGTTAAGAATTTCCCGTTGTTTTGGGAGTCTTTTTTTCTAAGTGGTGTCACGTGTTGGTTTTGTTGAGCCTTTTTACAATTTTCATTTCTTCTATATATAGCCATACGGGGTAATCGTTCTGGTAACAACCAACTTGTTGGTTGATCTAACCATCTCGGGGTTCTCATTGTCGTCTTCGTAACTAGTTGGCATAATTAGTAAAAACGGCAAAAAAAACGCGTTTCATACGCGTACCCCCGTTTTCCGCGTACTTTATGCCGTTTGCCGTATTTTTTTCATTCCATATGTATTATACGCGTCCAACTAGCTCTTGTCGTATGTACGGCAATTAAACGGAATCGCCGACTTATATAAATAAAAGTACGGCGGAACACACTGACATACGGAGAGCCGGACCAAATTTTAGGTTTCCCTCTGCAACTTCCGAATTCCATCTTCCCTTCCGAGCTCCTCTCCCAGTGAAGTAGATACCATACCAATGGATATCCATAATCTCCAATTGAAAGTAACTCTTCGAGTTCTCTTTTCTTCTTTACTTCGTCGTTCTTCCTGTCTTCCTGCTTGCAATTAGAAGTTCGTCAGTTTCATGGAGAGTTATATATATACACACACGTGTATATAGTCCCAGGAAGAGAAGATATGTCCATAGTTGTTTAATTCTTTATTAGGATACGTAGCTATTGAGTTCTGAATTTGGGAGATTTTAACTACCATGTGATTGCTTACTACAACTTTTACTTCAAAATTTTACATACTTATAATAATTGGAAAGGATCGCATGGCAGCTTGCAGGGGCGGATACATGGACTTCTAGGGGTGTCCCGGGATACCCCTAAAATTTGGGAAAACGATTATCCAACCTCCGATAGTAGTTTCGTATGGGTATACAAAATATAATTGGTAATCCGGGACACCCTAACATTTGAAAAAATGATTATCCTACCCTCGATAATAGTTTACTTATGATTAACAAAATATAAGTGGTAGTCCGTGTTATTCCAACATAGGACACTACTATTATCAAACATATTCTAATTATGTTGCTAATCATTTGTTATTCTATTTTAAACATCATGCAACTAGTAAAACGCTATTTCTTTATCCCCAACTATTTTCAATACCTAATAATTAAACTACGTACACACTACCCTTAATTTTGAATTGATTTTATGGTCACACGGCAAGTGTCGAAAGAGTCTTTTCTACTTTGAGCTACATTAAGAACAAGGTTAGAAATTGAATATGTGATAAGTTCGTGAAGTATTGTCTAGCAGGATATGTAGATTTTTTTTTTGAACAGTGCAGACACGGAGTTTATTTTATATTATTTTTTCAAAATATGAAAACACATCATGAATTTAATAAAAAAATTTATACAAGTATGATATTTTTAATATATGAATTATTTAATTTAATTTTTGAAGAGGACACCCTGTGAAATGTTTCTGAATCCGCCACTGGCAGCATGCATGTTAGTCATTTGTCAGTGTATATGTATCACAATTTTTGCCCTTACAATCATCTTTTAGTGTGTGTTTTTTATTTGATCTAGAATAAGCAGTATTCGTATAATAATTTTTATGTTTTAACCTTATTTGTTCTGATTTATAATCCAGTTTTCGTGATTTAGTGTTGCGTCTCTATTGTTTAAATTTTTAAATTTGTCATTTTTACTCCCGTATTTTTATTGACGTATCTTTGATGAAAATCCGTACTATACACGTATTATTCTTTTGACGTATATTTAAAATGTCCGTTTTTTATGCCGAACTATTAAACGTAATAGTAAGTCAAAATGAAGTATTATTCACGTACGTATTATTACCGTAAGATACCCGTACCGTATTTTACTAACTAAGCTAGTTGGTGTCAGGTTGATGGCGCCAAATTGACTTGTCCTACCGGAACTAATCTTATGTGGATCTAATATAATTGTATTCATCCTTTCCCTTTCATTCCTCTCTCTTGGTTTTGCGTTGATGAAAAGATATCCAAGACTTTAAATTTGTACTAGAAATCTTAGTAGTGGACTTCAGAATGAAAAACATTATCTACTATAGACTTGAAGTTAAATAATGACTTCTTGTAGATATTATTACTAAATGATCCGTGGATATATAGATCATCGTACAAGATTAATTTTTCTTGTATCATAGTATTATCCGAGAGGACTAACTTTATTTTTTTTTTGTCATCATAAAGAGTAGCGATGAACAACGTCTACCCTTGTAGATTAAGATTACATAATCATGAACAAGGTCTCACAACATATCGCCAACGTACAACGGGTTCATGCACAATTATGTCAATACAAAGATACACACAAATTCTTATTACTTCTCGTCTCCTAATTAAGTCTCCATTCTGCGAGAAGAGGCAAATCAAGCCCAACAAAGTACCAGAATAAATTGAACAACACAATCCCTTTATTCTTTCTTTTCCAGATAATACGACATATTTTTTAATTAATTACTTAAACTGTCCACACATCCATCATCAGCTTATTCCTCGATCATCGTTGCCGTACTCTCACCTGACCCTGCAGGTATAATTCACGCAAGCAGAACGAAACACCACATTAAAAAAAAACATCAGAACAAAAACATGCATCACTTCAACCAAAAAAACGAAAAAAAAATAAAAACAAACGAATTAACGCATGCACCTGTTGCAATCGACGGTCGGGCTGACGGGTGCGGGCGAAACGACGCCGCACCTGTTGGGAAGTCCGCCGGCGATGCCGAAGTTGACACCGGGGAGACCACCGACGAGTGCTTTCAAACATCGACAAGCCAATTGCCTTTCCGGAGTCGAGCCGGCGGCGGCCTTGAGCGACCTGAGCCCGCCGCAGCAGGCGGGGACCAGAGGGCCTCTCCCCGTGATGTAGTTGAAGCACGGCGCCACGTCGGCCGCCACCTGGCTACACGTCACCGCGCCGTCGGCAGCCAGATGCCGTCCGCCAGCCGCCACCATTACCGCCACCACCAGCGCCACGTAGACCTGCAGCTTGTAATTAGTAGCGGCCATGATATATTATTATGATAACAGTAGTTGATGGATTTGTGGATTGAAGCTAGCGAATGAAAGTGGATTTTTTATAGACGGGGGAATTATGTACGTATTGCATGTGAACCGTTAGGTGTACGTTCGGCTGGATTATAAAATGAAATTACTAGTCGCGTGGTAGATGCGCGGCAGATGTGTACGTAGATATATGAATGAGAGTTTGCTTGCTAATTTGAATTTTGGGGGGTTAGGTTGAGGTCCTTAAGTCTACTATCTTAAGAATTATCTTAAGTCATTTCTATTGGTTGATAATAATTTAGGTAGTTAATAGATTGTTAGTAGTTAATTGGTGGTTAGAGGTAATTAAGGTAATAATAACTAATTAATTAATTAAAACATTAAAAAACGGACAATTACGGCCGCACTCATAAGTTACCTCCCCAATCCCTATTAAATGACGTCCTTGTCAAGCGTGTCAAAACGCAAAATCCCACATATTCACCTCCGCAAGCTTTTCATCACCGGTGGTGGTTCTTCCTTCGGCTGCCACTCCGATACTTCCGGCAACCATCACCAGGCAAGATCCGGCCGATTCTCCTCTTCGCGAGTTAACTCTCTTAGTGTTCATGGATATTTTCTCATCGGAGGTGTTGGTAATGGATACGGAATATCTTCGTCGCTCATCTACGATGGAAGCTATGGCGCTTAGGATGGTGGCTCCTATTCGGTGATATGTTGTTGCGTAATGCGTATGGTGTGAGGTATATGTTGAAAAATTATGAGAAATCGTTAATAACGTTATTGTAAAGCATTGATAAGTATATTGAAATCGTTAATAATGTTGGGCAAAAATTAATTTCATATACTCTAAGAATGACAATGTAAATCGATAATAATTGATCACAAAATGTTAATAATATCATTAGAAGTCATTTTAAGAGGTCATGATTAACTAGTTATGGACATGATGTGAAAATATGAATCATTAATAAATAAATTGTAAATCAAATATAGTGTTATTCAAGTCGTTAATAACGATGTGACGTAACTTTAATAATTAATTCTTAAGCGTTGATGATAAACATATTTATCGTTAATGGTCTAATGTCATTTTTAATGTTGAAGCCATTTATTGTTAACATTTTGTTTTAATGTTGAACATAATACAATATTATTTTGAACGTTTTTAATGACATATGATACTTAACATTGAATTTGGTTATTATTAATTTTGTATTGGTTTTCAACGAAATTCAATTTTCTTTTCAATGACATGCTCATTCATTATTAACAATTTTCATTACACGTATTAACATCATTCATAGCAACTTCGACCCTTTTGTTTGAAGTCTTACAGATATCCAATCTTTCATCCAATGCCATGACCTTGTATAAAAACATACCTAATTTAACGTGGTAGAGGCCCCTGGACTCGATTTGCATCCATGCTTCTCCAATTTAGTTCCAAAGTAGGCTTCACAAACACGTTCCCAGACTTGGCAATTTCAGACAGTTTCCTAGTTTTGGCATAACCTTTTGATCAGGTACAAAAATGGTGTTCTGGACTTCTTATTGAGCTCCCAAGTCCTTTAATGTGTAGAGGGACACTTCAGCTTCAAAACAAGTCATTGATCTCCAATTTCCATCTAGCCAATTGTAAGATATGAATATCCAAAGTAGGCACCATGAATCGTAATAAAGATGATGTAAATTTATGATAACTTTGTTTATTATTTTGAACGTTTTTAATGACATATGATACTTAACATTGAATTTGGTTATTATTAATAATTTTGTATATCGTTAGCCATTGAATAATTCTTTGATATTGGTTGATGATGGAAATGTATATCGTTAGCCGTTGAACTAAAATCGTAATAGTGTAATTGTAAAACATTGACAAGTGTATTAAAAATGTTAATAATGATGAGATATATAAATAACAATTCATTTCATAAACATTGATAATGAAATTGCAAATGTCAATCATGTCATTGTAAGTTGTCACAGAAAGAGAATGTACGCATTCTGAATTTAAAATTTCCTTCTCTTAAACGTAAAATATTAATTACGAATTTCCATTTTAAATATGAATTTTATTAACTATAAATAATTATATTTAATTAATATACCTTATTTACCATTTTAGGTGGTTAGACCTCAATTTCTCTCTCCTTCTCCTATTGGCCAATACAAACTTAAGAAACTCCTTAAGTTTTAGGCTTAAGGACGGGATCCAACCCGTGAGTTTGGACGGACGGAGCTACAAGGTTGGAAGGGGTGTCATGGCACACCCTTGATTTAGGGGAACACTTGCAAAACTTAGTTGAGTAAATATTACTCATAAAGAAATCATTGAACTTGATAACGATAGTCGGAAGAGAAAATTGGTTATCATCAATATATTTGCTTGTGAAACTTGGTTTAGTTTGCTACTACCTTTTGTCAATATACATGTTGATATTATCAACAACAAAAAATACATATCGATATAAAGTTTTCTGCAATGAAACGATTGACCAGCCTTCGACTTAATTGAAAAATTTGTGAATGATTATTTGGTGGGATAATATTAAGAGCAAATCTTCATAGTTTGGACAATTATGTAGTTTTAAAATTATTTTATTATATATGTTAGGATATGAGTTGAATTTTATTTGAGTTTGTTTTGTGTTTTGGGCCTATTTTGTTTGGCTTTGTGTTTGGACTTTGTTTTGACATTTTCCTTGTTTGTTTGAGAAAAAGGTGTTTAGTTTTCTGTTTGGGATTAGGAAAAGAGTTCTATAAATACTCTTCAGCACCCTAATCTGTAGTAAGGTCAGTCAGGTTAGTTTGTTTGGTTTGTTCGTTCCGGATTTTGGTTTGTAACCTGTACTCTTCTCAAATTAGTGAAATTTGTTCTCCCCTACTCGTGGATTAGCTAGCACAGATTGTGTTAGTGAATCACGTTAAATTTGTGTTCGTTTGTGTTGATATGGATTATCGATTGCACACTTCCGGTTTTGACAAGTGGTATCACAGCCAGGTTCGGCGGATCCGGGGCGGTGGACTCTCATTCGGTGACCTCGAGATTTGAGATTTGCATCTGGTTTGGTGGATCCAGGATAAATCCACGTTTGGGCTTGGCGGATCAAAGAAAGTTCGCATTTGGGAAGCAGATCAAAGAGAGTTCTGCGTTTGGTAATGTCCTTGTACCGAGAAGCCCATTGATACAAGGTGTCTGGCTGATCAAGATAATCGCTAAGGAGAGACACGAGGTTCGTGGTCCTTGGCTTGAGGGGAGGATTGTTATGAGGGCAATACAAGTACCAAATCGGTAATATAAGGGAATAGACCCTTGTATATTAGTGTCCACCTAGCCCAATTAGTACGAGGCCTTTTGGGGAGGACAACCAAGAGTAAATCCGTGCGGGCTTGGCCCAAAGCGGACAATATCGTACTAATTGAGCACTCCGGTTTCCATAAGTGGTATAAGAGCCATGGTTGTGTTTCTCCAAATTTGGTTTGCGATGGTTCGTGGTCTTTTGCCCCAATTTAGATTTGTGCGGGGGACAAGCAAGGGAGACGCTACCGCAAACTTGTGAGTTGTGATTAGCCGACTTCCAGTGGGATTTGAAGAAGCTTTGTTCAATTGTGGTACAATTAATTTTTGTCCAGTTGCACAATAATTTTCTCTGCTTGGTTAATAGTGGCGATTCGTGTGATGGTGGATTTATTGTGATAATCATCACAATTCTGGCGCACTCACCAGGAAGCAAGCAGCTGAGGCTTTTATTGGATTTTGGGTTGGTAGCGGCCATTGTTTGTTTTGTGGTGGAGACTTGGATTTGGGTTTATTTGGTGTTTTTTGGAGTTCAAGTTTGATTTTGGAAACTTTGTGAACGTTAACTGATGTGCCTAAACTACTCTAATTGACAATAAAATAGCTAGGGTTGCTGGAAATTGAAAGGAATTGGGAAATTTAGGGTTTTTGGTAGGTTAGATGGAGGAAGAACCACCACACCAGTCGGTGATAAGGAGGGAAAGGCGCCACAACCAGGGTTGATAAGTCTAAGAAATCACAAGGAAAATATTTCTTGCAACTCTTGAAAATTCTTATTGAAGTCTGAATACTGAATTGAATAAAACTAAACTACAAGCCTTCTATTTATAGAGAGTCTAACCCAATAGAAAAGACTTCCTTCTACACCTAGGAAACTGAAAAGTAATAACTCTACTACTAGGAAACAAATAACACTCATACTTAAGAAATTAAATAAAGCTAATATAATAAAAGACTCTTAAACCAACATGGAAAACAATAAAGCATCTCCTCTAAATCCTTGTTGGACAAGGTTAGTTGTAAGAAATCCTCAATTCTCAATTAATTCCGTAAGGTCTTCTTGTAGACCCATTTTCACCCATCTTGAATGCTTCTAAACTCTCTTTAAACCTCCTAATTTGTCTATTGACCCATGGTCCATGTAAAGATATAATTTGGAATCGAATTAGGTCATATAGGGTTGGTATAATCCCATCATTCCCTCCCTCTTAGAAAAGATTTGCCCTCAAATCTTCTTGTGACATAGGAATGTGTTTCCACGACTCTATCATTTCCCAACTTGAGTGTACTCCTTGAATATTAAGTTTAACCACAAACTCTTGAATTCTTCGTCTTTCCCTACTACGAATTTCCTTGTTTGACAACTTCAACTCCAATAACAAACTCCATGTGTTCACCAATCACATCATAATCCACCCATTTGAGTTGAGTAGAAATCGTAGCATAATCGCCCATCTTTAATGACCAAATCTACTCTGTAGACACCCATTTTTGTCCAGGTAAAACATTTTTTTTTAAAAAGAAATTCTTAGTTGCTTGAGGCTAGTCATTGCGAATCTTAAACAACTTTAAAGGGTTAATTGCATGGTTGGTCACTGAGATTACAAAAAACGTTCATGTTTGGTCACTGTAAATATTTAAATCCAATCTTGGTCACTCAAATTAGTTAAATGGTTCAAGTTTGGTCACTCTCCGTCCAACTCCGTTAAATTTGTCTGATGTGGCAGTCAACCCTCAAAGTTGACCGTTAACTCAGT